CGTCCACGTTCACCGAATCACCAGTGTCTACCATTTGCATGACTTGTGTTTGTTGGTCGCTCTGATAATTCAACAATATTAGGTACTAAGTATATTAAGATTCATATTAAACTTGAATAAAACACACATTGAAGTAGAGTGACAAACTCTTTAATGATATCATAAGAGTAAACAAAGGAAGGAAAATATGTGTAACAAAAACGTATTGTGCTGCTCGAATACATTTGGAAAAGAACAATTGAATATAAAATTTGTGCCAATTATATTAAAATGCCAATAACTGGTTTTATTTTACCTGCTCTTATAAACTCACCATAGTAATACACATCAACACCTGCAGAACGAACATGCCGAACGACAGGAAAGCGATGCCAGTTAGCGATATATCAAAGAGATCAGCAATGCCTAGGCCATGGTGTTCGCGCTCGGCCACGTACTCGTAACCACCGCCGGGAGGTTCGTGCGCCGCCGAGTGGTAGACAGGCGGTGGCGGCGGCGGCATAGAGTATTCGTAACCACCACCTATAAAAAAATATTATAATTATCGCATTCAAAGCCCTTAAAATTTAAATTAAAAGAGAGTTCCTAATGACCAACTGGCGAATTTATCCGAAATAAATCTGGTTATTTTTTCTCCGGAGTAGAGGATAATGTTTTTCTCGGGTATTTTAGAATGTATGCAAGTGAATAGAAAAATAAGCGTGTATGTAAAACCATAGGAAAAGGTATAAACATGATTAAAAAGTACAATCATATAGTAGCAAATTACATGAGCTTTTAAACAATTTAGGGTTATGTGTCTTGCATGAAAATATGTTAACTTACTATGTTTTGAAAGTTCGTAAGGTGTTCTGTCAGTTTCAGTCAATCCAGGTGTATCGTGGCCTTCAAATACTTCGTATCCCTCTCGTTCTTGCACATGGGGTTGAGGAGTATGAGATGCAGAAAGGTTGTCGCTTCTTAAATCTTTAGTTACGTTGTTGTGACGGTATAACTCATTAAGTGCTGCAACTCTGTGAACGGAAGATTAACTTTATTGTTTTTGTGAGTTTTCACTGTTAAAATACACGTTTAAAAACATTTTGTAATGTTCTCATTTTTATTGAAAAACAAAGAAGAGAATTTGCTTGTAACAAATGATACGACAGTGAAACTTTACGGCAAATCGATCTATTCTTATGAAGTTTTCGACTTCTCAATTTTTGATACATACTTAGTCAACCATTCTTGATAATTAGCTGAACCGATATCATGCATGACGTTGTTCCTTAAATCCGTCGACCTCGCCAACCCAATTCCATCCTTGATATTGAAACTATAAGGTTTTCCAAGCCGGTCTTGTATTATTGATTTGCCCATTTCTTCTAAGATTTGCTCCGCGACGTAATTCCGACATTGATATTCATTCATCATTTTTCTACAAAAAAGAAAATGAAAAATATGCGAGTCCACAATCATTTTTAACCTACATAAGAATTAACATAAGGTAAATTAACAATTATTACAACTGCTATTTTAAAGTAGTTAAGTTACGTAAAATAAAATAAGAAAGACTTAATCATAGTTAACAACCACAGCACAGAGTCAAATAAACCAGTACATACCTGTGAAATTTTAATATAGAAAATGCAGCATCTATTGATCCATTTACAGACGGCAAAATATTTATCGTATCATTAAAAGAATCTTGTTTTTCATTTTCACCATTAATTATAAAATACGTCGGCATTAAATCGTTACGTAAAACATCGTCTACATTTAGATCATCTACCATTTTTACACCAAATAAAGGTCTAAAAAATATTAACAGAAAACAAATAGTGACTATTTCGTTTTTCATATTTAGAAAATGTACAACGCACAAAGATCGAGAGAATGACGAATAAATGCATGTCCCCATATGGAAAGATTACATGAGTTACGGAGCAGAAAATATTCCGATTTTATCATCATTGTTTCGTTTTTATAACTGTAACTTTAACAGTGAATAATACAAGTTAAATCATATTTATTTAGACGTTTCATACTGAAAAACAATTGCTAGGTCTAAGATTTTTCGTTCTAAGTTAAACCTAATCATGAGTAAAATATTGTAAAGTTTAAAGGGAATTTTATTTAGTATCTTATAGGTTAATATCATTATTTATTAGCGCATTAAAATAACTGTTTGCTGTTTATAAATATGTATTGTTTCCTGTGGTTTACAAATCGGGTTTCATATAATCTGATCACATTTAAAGTACTACAATTTCACCCCTGCGGCTCTTAAGTGCCCATCGCGATGAGGGGATCCATTATAATGCACAATATTATAAATGCTTCGATGTCATCGGCGCGACGTCTGACGTGAGAACAAACCAACCAGCCCCTCTTCTATTATACTTAATGTAGGTATTCTTTATTTTTCATTTGGTTAACTCATATTTCGATTTTAATGTGTTTACAGCTTTTCCGTATGTTTTAATCACCTTATGAAAGGACAACGACATTAATAGTGTGACATCATCAAAATCATCATCAGCTTATGTTACTCTATTGCATAGAGTATCCCCTAATGCCTTGCTCATAATATTACGATACAAAACAAAGTAAGATTATCAACTCTATTATGCCCAGAGGTATTGCCAGTTGATGATCTAGGGCTAGAGGAAAGGAGGGGCAAGTCGATGATTAAGAGAGGGGATCGAGATATAATAGTTTTATACTCTCTATCAAATCAAATCTAATTTTTACTACATCGGAAATCTAGAATTACCCTAACACTAAACACACACAATCACCCACAATTTTACTTTATTTTGCACTATTTATTTTTACACATTTTCTTAAATTATTTGCAGTTTTTTTTAACCTGTAAAAATATACGCTCTATTTTCGATTCATAATCTGTGCTTTATTACCATAAAGGTACCCCTTTTGACATTTAAAAATTATACTTCGATTGTATTTTCCTTGTCCTTGTTTTACGTTTTTGGAAAATAATAACATGAATATAAGTTCTGTTACGTATTAAGATGTACTTTAATATATTAATGTGATTAATACCTCCAACAATGGGGACTAACGGCAACGGTCGACGCAGCGGTACAAAATTGCCCGACGTACGCCGCCCCATGGACGAAGGAGATTGTGTCAACGATATGGATAGCCCCGAGTTAGATTTTGTTTACGACGACTGTGATTCCCAAGCAAATGAAATAGCTGAACTTTATAGTTACACCGAGCATCCAGAATTTCAGCTCAATGTGAAAGCCTTCGAAGATATAATGGAAGAGTTTAATTTCCCCCCAAGTTGGCAAAGATTGACTCTACCGCAGCAGCGTACGGTAATAATGAAACTATTAGAGCATTTGGATGTTGCAGTAAGTGATGTACGTATGCGGTCTGCTCGCTGTATACTGTACTTAGCGCAGGGATGTTGGGCAGAAATGCAGTCTGACGCAGAGCAAGCTCATTGGGCAAGACTTAATATCATGACACTATATGAAATGGGAACATTTGCCGCATTTATCGAATTACTGAATCTCGAAATTGTTAGAAGCAGTTCTGCGATGGCATCAAGAAAAATTGCAGAATCTCTTCCCGATTCTACTAATCTTCGCGTTATTTTGTCTGTGTTGTATTTAATTACAGAACATATGAGAACGGAAAAAGAAAACCCTGATTCTGAATATGCTTGCTTGGTGAAAAACTTTAAGGAAGAACTCGGGACACCATTTGGTGAGGAATTGTTACCAGTAAAGTTACTGAGTATGGTAACACATCTTTGTGCTGGAACAACACCATATTTTCCTATGAAAAAAGTATTACTATTGTTGTGGAAAGTTTTGCTTGTTTACTTGGGTGGTTCAAAAGAGATGAAAGAGAGAAAATCGAGATTACGAGAAACATATGGATTGGCTCCTATTAATGAAGATACTCTTGAAATTATAAAAGGTATGCGAGCCAGTTCTCCTCCACCTAGTGCTGCTGACATGTTAGAAAACCAAAACCCAGGACAAAGAAAACTCAAAGAAAATGAAAGAGCTCTTCGTAGGCAGACTTTTATGAAACAAACATCCCTAGATGAATCTGATGAGCAAATATATGTAGACAAAGAAGATACTGGAAATGGATCTGAAGATTACCCAATGGAGTTTCAGTCTATGCCTGCTGATAACATGCAGAATACAAACACAAATCAAAACTGCCCATACTATATGTATTTCAAACAATTTGACAGCCCCCCTCCCCCTCCACCATTGCCAAGAAGTCTTCCATGGCAATCCAAAGTTCGCCAAAAAGATATTGACATGTTTCTGGATAATGTCCGAATAAAATTTGTTGGATATTCACTCCCTGGTGATAGACAGACAGTGGCTGGACTCCCACAACCAATTCATGAAGGGGTTGAAATATTAAAAAAACATATGTACACAAGTCTGTCTGAAATACAGGCTGAACGTGAAATTGAGATTGCAAGAAGTCCTTTGACAAAAGGGGAAAAGATTGTTGAGGAAACTGAAGCTGAGATTCTATACAGAGCTATGCTTCCTAACTTACCACAGTATATGATTGCCCTTTTAAAAATCCTGTTGGCAGCTGCGCCCACATCTACTGCCAAGACATATTCTATTAACATAATGGCTGACCTACTGCCTGAAGAGATGCCTGTTACTGTTTTGCAGTCATTAAAACTTGGTATAGATGTCAATAGACATAAAGAAATCATTGTGAAAGCTGTTACTGCAATATTGCTCCTACTATTAAAACATTTTAAAATTAACCATGTTTACCAATTTGAGTTTATGTCACAACACTTGGTTTATGCTAATTGCATGCCATTAGTTTTGAAGTTTTTCAATCAAGACATTTTGTCATATGTTGGTGCCAAAAACACTATACCCATATTTGACTTTCCTGCTTGTGTTATTGGTGAGCAGCCTGAATTGACTAAAGAATGTTTGGAAATCGGCGACTCATCAGTGCCATACTCATGGAGGAATGTTTTCTCCTGTATCAATTTGTTGAGAATTTTGAATAAATTGACAAAATGGAAAAATGCAAGAATCATGATGCTTGTTGTGTTTAAAAGTGCACCAATATTAAAACGAACACTTAAAGTGAGACATGCTTTGATGCAATTTTATGTCCTGAAATTGCTTAAAATGCAAACAAAATACCTTGGAAGACAGTGGAGGAAGACAAATATGAAAACTATCAGTGCCATTTACTCTAAAGTTCGCCATAGATTGAACGATGACTGGGCGTTTGGCAATGATGTTGATGCCAGGCCATGGGATTTTCAAGAAGAAGAATGTGCACTGAGGGCTAGTGTTGACCGTTTTAACCACAGAAGATATGGTTCTGGTGGGGGACAAGAAGTTGATTTGACTCCAGTTGATACAGATATTAACAGTGTTCTAGAATCAAATGTTGAATTAGATGAAGAATTCAAAGACAATTATGAGCTTTGGCTAGAACAGGAGGTCTACAACAATGAAATAAACTGGGATGTTCTCTTATCCACATGAAGTTTTTGAAGGTCATGCAAGGATATATTTTAAAATTATTCAAAAGATAATAATTTAACTAATGTGGTGTTTTGATAGCAGTGCTTTTGAACTTCATACTTTTATACAGTGAGATTATGCATTATTTAACCATTTAAAACATGTCATTGTTAAATTATTGTTAGATCTCCCTTTAACTTTTGTAAGACTATCTATTACTAGAACTTTATGTTATTAGATTTAAATGTGAAATGCATAAAATGTAACATGCGTTAGCTATAACTATGTACTCATTTCAAATATTTCAGTTAAATCTGGTTACATGTATTAGATTTAGCATTAAAAACCATAACTTAAACAAATTAAAATTATATTTAATTATTAAAAATGGATTTAAATAAGAGGTTTGTGCTGATGCCACATTAAAAATCTATGATATTTTAAAAATTGTAATATCTAATTACTAAACTTTAGAAACTAAATGAAGATTTATAGTTGAATTTGTCTTTTATTATATGAAACAATTTATTAATTTAACATATTTATTGAAGGGCCAAGATTTTAAGGCAATAGTTGATTGGAATCTAAATCTATACCCTCGTCAATGGTAGTGGGTACACTTAACTAGTCTATTGGCGCTTAATTGGAATTGCCTGTCCTCATCGTCGTTTGTCTAGGTTCCCCTTTGAACGTCAAAGATTCATTATTTTATTTCGTCAAGCTTTTTCATAGGTAATTATATAACATACGATTTAGCTCAATTCCTTCAGTTCCTTTGAAATGCGGGCAATGCCGGCAACGCAACTAGATAACTAACGATCGCATCGAAAAGCGATCATCTCGGTGTGCTAATTAATGATCCTATAAGTCCTGAACCCAGAATCCGAACAGTTAAGTTTTCTACATGCATGCAACTTTCTATAGCTACAAGTTCTGACAACACTAAATTGCTTATCTGTGGTATTTTGGGTGGGGTCTATTGTCAACTGTCATTTAAGTTTTCAAGTGTCAAAAAATTTATCAAAGTCGAAAAAGTATAATATAAATTGCTATTTAGGACACACTAGATTATTGATTTGTTATTATAGAAACATTACAAACTGTGAAAGTTGTGAATTTAAGTCTATATAAAAGTGATAATAGCCTTGTAAGTACATATTTGTAATCGATCCCAGGAACATCCTGTAATTAAAATTTGTTTTACTAACTTTGTAGTAAATGTTTATTAAATATGAGATTTCTATATGATAGTAAGAATCGCATTTGATACTTTCTTTAATTATTACTTATTACGTATTAATATTTTAGTTATAGTTTCACAATGGCTGAGCTTGCAGCGTTATTACAAACGTTAATTCCTGAAGGACGAACGCATTTAACAGACAGTCATACAAACCTCGAGCGTGTAGCGGAATATTGCGAAGCGAATTATTTTCAGTCAGAAAATAAAAGACTTGCTCTTGAGAGCACTAAAAACTACACGACCCAATCATTAGCAAGCGTCGCTTATCAAATAAATACACTGGCATTCAACTTCCTGCATCTGCTGGAACAGCAAACAATCCAGTTGGCTGAAATGGAAGGACAAATGAATCACATTGCACAAACTGTAGCTATACATAAAGAAAAAGTGGCTCGGAGAGAAATTGGTGTTTTAACTGCAAATAAAGTGGCACCTAGACAGTACAAAATTATAGCACCAGCTAATCCCGAGAAACCAATAAAATATGTGAGAAAAAGTATAGATTATTCAGGTAATTACATCATTTAAGTCAATTCAGCTTTTATTTAAAAATCTTAATAAAAAGAAATTTATAATGTTTGAATTATTTGTCAGCTTTGGATGATATTGGTCACGGTGCTCGTTGGAATGGAGGCTCTAGTGGTACACCACGTGGCCGGCGCTCAGTGTCTGCACAGGGCTCAGCCACTCTGCCTGCTCCCACTACCAAGCCCCCAACTCCACCAGCAGCAGTCCGAGCTGCCTCCGCATCTAACACTGGCACTCTTGGACGAGGCACTCTCGGTAAGTGTGTTGATTAGTAATATTTGTTCCAGATATAAAAACTATGGAGATATCTATATCTGAAAGAGTAGTTAAGAATGTATAAAACTGTAAAAACCCAATTTTATGTCACTTTTTTTCAATCTAGAAATTTTGGTGACATTGCTTAGTTGGCATGTACTAACTACTACCTGATCTGGCAAATTTTATATAAAAATTTTAGAATATACAAGAACATTTTAAAGTTTGAAATCAACAAAGGTTTTAGGTTACTTTTTTGTGTTCTATAGGCAAATCATCACGTGAGTACCGCACGCCCCCGGCGGTGGCGCCTCCCCAAGTGCCGTCGCATTACGCGCCTAACTACCCACGTCGTCCGCCCGGGTATTCCACTCTACCTGTAGCACAGCCACAGGTAGGATAGTTGCACAACTAAAACAGATAGAAGATAATGTATCAAGATTTGAATAACAAATAATCTTTAATTTTAGGTTGGCATGGTACATCCTAATCAGCATCAGACAAATTCCAATTATTCCCAGCAAGATTTGCATTCAAGTATGCCGCGTAAGTTTTTATAACAACAAAATCTTAATATGTATATTTCTAATTATTTAATCACTGTTTTAACATGATGTTTTTCTTTAAATTTTAGAACTTTT